GCACTTTGACTATTTAATTTGACTAATTTAAAATTACGGTGCTGAGCCAGGCATGGTGATGCAAACTTGTAATCCCAGCTGCTTGGGAGGCTGAGGTGGGAAAAGCGCTTCAAGCCACAAGTTGAAAGCTATTGTGATCATACCTGTGAACAGCCACTGTACTCCACTCTGGGCAATGTTGCAAGACCCTATCTTTGAAACAATGACAAAAATTCAAAATGTGTGGCAATAGAACTTCAAGCTTGTTTCTTTCTTTTTTTTTTTTTTTCTTGGTCTCGTTTTCCCTTTTTTCTTAGGTTCCTCCTGTGTTTTATTCTTCCCTATGATCATATATTCTGCACCTTCTCTCAAGAGTGATATAATTGTGTGGGATGGGGTGCATCTAGAACATGCAGGAGGGTCCAAAGCACCCTTCAGTGTCGGTGTCAATTTCTCGTAGCAGGTAGGGATGGAGTTTGGGAACATCCGAAGGGATGGTGTCAGGCACACTGAGGCTCTAAAACACCCTGTTATTGGCTCCCCTTGCTACCTAAGGTGATGTAAATAGTATATTCTTTACATTATAAGTATTTTCTCTCCCCTGTTTCTTCCACTCAGTTGTTTGTATGATGACCTGAATCTTTTATCAGAGTCTGAGGTAGGCTGACAAATATATGTAGAGCCCTTGGAAACTTCTACAGGAGTCTGACGAGAATAGAAATGGAAAGCAAATGTTATTGTGCAAGTGAACGTGCTGAATTCTCCTCAGTTCCTTATTCAGAAGTGTGCGGTTTTGTTAAAAGAGTTGTATTGGCTTGATAGAGCATTTTAAGGTATCTTACTTTTTTACTCAGCGTTTTTGAGAGAATAAATAGATCTGTTATGCTGTTGTCACATCAGTTAACGTTTGCTCTCTATAAAGGAATAAAACACCTCCTTGGGTTTACGTCATACTGCTACAGTTTACATCATACTATTCCACATTAGCCATCTCTAGTTGTTACTTTAAATTTGTATTTGAATTTCAAGTTTGGCTTAGGCTGAGACTTTACTATACTTAGCAAAGGTGTGCTTTTGCTGGTAATTTGCCTTTGAATTTTTATCTTTGTCATTATTGTTTGTTTCCTTAGCCTTGAGGCACCTGTTCATCTCAGATGAGGGTTTCTCTCCCTTCCCAGCCATCTTAAGTTTCACATTGTTTTAAATTGATTTTTATTTTATCCATGTAGCTCATGTACATGATTTTAAAAGTCCATAGTTTCAAAATACTTAAAAGAAACATGAACAGTTTCTGTTTCTCTCACCTATCCTTGTCTTGAATCCACTTCCCCAAACTCTTTTAGCTATTCTGGTATTTATTTTCATATTTCTTTTTTTGTGTGTGTGTGTGAGACAAAATCTTCCTCTGTCGCAAGAGTGACAAAAACAAACAAAAAAAGAGACCCCCCCCCCCCAAAAAAAGGCAGGAGTGCAGTGGCATGATCTCGCCTCACTGCAGCTTCTACCTCCTGGGTTCAAGTGATTCGCCTGTGTCAGCCTCCTGAGTAGCTGGGACTAAAGGCGTGCGCCACCACACCCAGCTTATTTTTTATATCTTTAGTAGAGATGGAGTTTCACTGTGTTGGGAAGGCTGATCTCGAACTCCAGACCTGAGGTGGTCCTCCCGCCTCGGATTCCCAAAGTGCTGGGATTACAGGTATGAGCCACCATTCCTGGCCTATTTTCATATTTCTAAACTATATGCCCCTACAGCGATCCACAGATGTAAATGGTAGCTAAGAACTGAGGTCTGCTAGGCTCTTCCTGCTGCTCCTCCTGGCTTTCTCCATATGTTACACAGTGTTAATTGTTTAAGCTAGTGTTCAGAGTTGTAGCAGACTGGATAATGGCCCCCGAAAGAAATCTACATCCGAATCCCTGGAACCTATGAATGTTACCTTATATGGCAGAGGACCTATAGATGTGAGTGAATTAAGGATTTTGAGATAGGGAATCATCCTAGGTTATCCTGGTAGGCTGTAAATGTAAGCACAAGGATGCTATAAAAGGAAGGCCAGAAAGTCAAAGGAGGAAGTAAGAGATAGGATTGGTGCAAGGAAAGGGCTACAAGCCAAGAGATGCCGGTGGCCTCCAGAAGCTAGGAAAGGCACGAAAATGGATTTTCCCCTTAAAGCTTCTAAAAGGAACCAGCCCAGCTGACAAAACTTTATAGCCCAGTGAAACTGATTTTTTGACTTTTGGTATCCAGAACTGTAAGAGAAAAAATTACTGGTGTTTTAAGCCACAAAATTTGCACTAATTTGTTATAGCAGCCGTAAGAAACTAATGCAGTAGTGGACATTGTACATACAGCTGCTGTATAATTTCTGATTTTCTTTTCTTTATAACATTGTTTTCTTTAGAGTTAATACCTTATTTATTCATTTATTTGGGTTTTAATCTCCCATCAGTGTTTTGTTTCTACGCCTTTCAAAAAGCCTTTTAATGTAATTTTCTACATGATCAGAAGAATCAGTTCATGTTCTTCCTGGAATTCCCTATCATGTTTCAGTCTGGAGTACTTTGTTTCGTTTTCTGTGAATCTTATCACTAAATCATCCTCAAATCCTCTGCGGAGACTAAATCTCCTCTTAGTATATTGAAGCACCTCAGATGTTGTATCACTTTTACTTTTGCCTTAAGCTCTATCCCTCCAACACACTTACTTCAACCTGGGCAGTTTCTAAGTCTGGTGCACAGCTGTTGCCCTGGGATTTTCCTTGATCATTATCATTGTGATCACCATCATGGGAATTCCTTTTGCCTCTCTTATGTTGGAGCTCCTTGTTCTTGGATCCCGTATCTTTTTCTTTTCTTGGTTTATGCTGTCATTTTGGGATGGTGCACAGTATCCAGCACTTCATGGGAAAGACTTCATAGGAGGTAAGATATTTGAGATCTTGCCTGCATGGAAAAGATGTGTTTATTCTACTTGCACACTTTCAGGTTTGGCTAGGTAACATTTTCCTTCAGAATTTGGGAGGTATTTCTTTTGTCTGTTAGCTTCCAGTGTTATTCTGTTTACTAATTTTTCCTTTCTGGATGGCGTGCTTTGGTTTGGGTCTTTTTCATTAATTGGACTGGTACTTATTGGACCCTGCAGCTTGTAGATTCATTTCCTTCCATTTTTTCCTTTTCTGTTTGTTTTTTCTGGAACTCCTGTTATCTGGATCTTGGACTTTCTGTACTAGTCCTCTATTTTTGTTTCCCCCTCCACTGTTTTCCATTTTCTTTTTATTTTACGTTCTGGGGGATTACCTCAATTTTGTTCTCAACTCTTTCATTTATTTTTATCATGATATTTTTAAGAGCTCTTTTGCCCTTTGGAATAGTGTTGTTGGTAGTGTTTTTGAAGCAACATCTGTAAATGGAGTATCTTCTCTTTGAGAAGATTAATAGTTTTTTGGTTTTGTTTTCATTTTCTAATTTGAGCATCTGTTTCTTTTGAGTTCCTTTTTTCTCATTCATTTGGTAGACTTTGGTATCTGGTGATCCTTGGTTGTCTGTTAGTTCTTAAGAATGAGATACTAAAAGTAAATTAGCGTTGTATCCACTGGCAGAGATATTCAGCTGGTGGGCTTCACTGTAGGGTGATGAGCCAGGGACCCTCAGGTCAGTGTCTCTAGATTAGAAGGAACTTCTAGTGTCTTCTCTCAGAGGGAGATGGCTAGATGAGATGGGTCATATCTTAAGCCTGGCTGCTGACATTCTGGGAGCCAGGAAGATCATTGAGCAACTCATGGATTAATATGTAGCCTTTCACTTAATCTTGTTTTTAATTTGATGCCATACCACCAGCTTCCTCTCAAATTGATACCATCCCTAGGTCTGGTTCAGTTTCTCCAGAGGTAAACTTGTTCTCTGGGTTAGTGTCTAGCTTCTCTGCATCTTTACATAGATGTTTCAACTAATAGCTGTTTTGAGTCTCATGCCTGACTGCAGCCCTCCAGGGTACCTGGTGCTTCTATGTCCTGACTTGGCAACCCCTTTTGCATGCTTGGAGGTTTCACTTGCTTTTATTTTGCTGAGTTTTCTATTTTTTAGCACACTGGTGGTTATCTTCCTTTATTAGTTTACTGTCATTTTAGTGCGATTTAGAAGATAATGCATGTTTTATATTTCCATGTTTAACAAGTGTGTCAGTAAAGTGTTTATAGTTCCTTTTCATTCATATCTAAGAACACTTGGTAATCATTTTCTATGCAGTAGAAAAGGGGAATTCACGGAATTTATATAAAAGTAGATTTGTTTTCTTAGATCTAAATTCTGATATTGTGGGGTTTTTCAGTTTTTGTGGTGTTTTTTTTTGAGATGGTGTCTTGCTGTTGTCCCAGGCTGGAGTGCAATGGTGTGACCTGGGCTCACTGCAACCTCTGACTCCTGGGTTCAAGCAGTTCTCCTGCCTCAGCCTCCCGAGTAGCTGGGATTATAGGCATGCACCACCACACCTGTCTAATATTTTGTATTTGTAGAAGAAATGGAGTTTCACCATGTTAGCCAGGTTGGTCTCAAACTCCTGACCTCAGGTGATACCCCACTCCTTGGCCTCCCAAAGTGCTGGAATTACTGGCGTGAACCATTGCACCTAGTTTTTGTACTGTTTTAATGGACTTTTCTTTCCTCGATTAATAAAGTGATAAAAATTAAAATAGCTTGTGTCTAAGATACCCTCATTTTTAGACCTAAATTTTAGACATGAAGCAGTCAGCCGAAAGCAGTGAGGTTTTAAAGAACTTAATATATCAGAGAAAACTTTAGCTTTCTTAGATAAAAATTATACTTTTTTTTACTCCCGAAATAATTAATACATATGTTTGTCTTAGAATGAAGACATTTGTCTTAGACCTTTGGGCTGCTGTTAACAGAATACCACAGACTGGGTGGCTTATAAACAAACAACAGAAATTTATTTCTCACAGTTCTGGAGGCTGGGAAGTCCTAGATCAAGGCACCTGCAGATATGGTGAGGACCTGCTCTCGGCTTCAGAGACAGCTGTCTTGACATGGCAGAAGGGACAAGGGCTTTCTCTTGGGTCTCTTTTAATTTATAAGGACACACTAATCCCATTTATGAGGACTCTACCCTTATTACCTGATCACCTGCCAAAGACCTCCCCTCCGAATACATCACATTAGGCATTAGGTTGCAACATGTGAATTTTGTTGCAACATTCAGTCTGTAGCAGCATAAAGTAGTTACTTATTGCAGGCCAGCTAAAATACCCATTTTCCTTTGAGAAGATCATTTGTCTTGAAACTAAGACACAGGATTAAGGGAATAATGGCTTTCTTTGTTTTCCATCAGTAATACTCATCCCCTGTTAATAGTAATACAACATTTGTATTGTAGATGTAGTGCTGTGCTGCCTCTGCCTACCCCAGGGGTCCTTCCTGTCATTCTCCCTTTGCTTGCTAGTAGGTCCAGCCACAGGAGCTTTCTTGAGGGCTTTGAAGTTGCTCCTTTTATTCTCAAACATACTTTCCTTCCTAATCTTGACTACCCTGTGTGAATTAAACTCATTTCCCTTCCAACTCCAAGAGAAATGTACATTTAATGTTACCTGTTTTTAGAATATCCTTTGTATTATTTGAAATGATGTTGTTTATTGTTTGCTTGCTTATTGTATGTAGGCTGCTTCTTTCTAGTTCGTGAGTTTCACAAATGATTCGGAAATGAATCCTGATTCTTTTCTGTGATGTTCATTCTTAGCTTCTGTAACATTTTTAGGCATGTGACAGTATCTGGCATTTAATGGGCATTTGTTGAATGGATAGATATATTCTGCAGGTGTTTTCATGTGTCATCTCATTTTAAAATATATGTTAACTTCAGGTTTTTGTTTTACTAAATGTACACTTGTTGTTCAAAATAGGGAAATGCAATAAGCTAACAGTTAGTACCACTTCCCAGTTTTTTGAACCAGTAAAAGGATACCCAGACAAATCCTCATAGTCACACAAGCTGGTATATGCATTAGAGTATAGACCAAACTACTTTAAAGACCCGCATACACAGTGGTTCAAAAAATTAGCTTGTTCCTCTTTCACGTGACTGTCAGTGGTACACAGGGGTCTGAAGTGGATAAGCTGGTTTTGCCAGAGATTACCCAGGATTACAGGTTTGTTCTGCTCAGGGTCTTGGTGTATTGCTCTTCTGTGCATGGTCAGATCTGGCTCAAATCTGTGTTCGAACCCATGGGGGAGAGAAGAGAGAGAAGGGCAAGGAGGTGACAGAAGTTTCATTCATAACCCATTGTTTAGAACTTGGTATAAGAGAATCAAAGAAATGCAGCCTCTAATTTCCTGTTGAAACTCTGTGTGTGTGGTTCTGAGGGGGAAGTGGCCACTCATAGGAACGATTAGTCTGCCTCAGCTAGCAATTCTTATAACTTTTACTCAGGACTTTTTAACTCCTTAGTTCAGTCCTGTTTCCTTCCTGCTTCCAGTTTAGTGTGAAAGCCTTATATAGGATCCTAATTCAAAGAGTTCAATATTTTTTATGACATGAAACAATTGGAAATTTGAACAGTTACTGGATATTTCATCTTAAGGAAGTGCTTTTGATTTTTTTAAGGTATGGTAATTGTATTTGGTTATATTGAAGATAGTGGTCTTTTGATTTTTTGGTAATTGTGTTTAGTTATATTGAAAATGGTGGTCTTTTAGACATCTTTCCTGAGGTATTTATAGGTGAAATAATTTGATGTCTGGGATGTACATGACATAACGTGGCATGGGTTTCTAGATGAAACAAGATTGGCTATGAATTTATAATTGTGGAAGCTGCATGATAGGTACATGGGAATTTATACTGTGCTCTTCTGCCTACTTTTGTATATGATTGAAGTACTCTAACGAAATGTTTAAAATATTAGTTTATACCAATACCTCCAATTTAAATTGAATACCACAGGGTTATTTCTTACTTCCCTCATTCCGTATTTGTGTCTTTTGGATTTCACAGTGAGAACCTTAGTTCCCAGCCCTGTAACTTTTTTTTTTTTTTTGGTCAGAATATAAAGATGGGCAGAACCTGGATCTTTGATAACATTAAGCCAGTGAATTAACTAACCCTGGGTTTATTTGCCATGCCTTGGGAGATTTTATGTGAGATGACAATTTTTTTATTGTGCTAAAATACACATAAGGTTTACCATTTTAAAGTATACCATTCAGTGTCTTTAAGTGCATACAAATATGTTGTGTAACCATTACCACCATCCGTCTCCAGGACTCTTTTCATCTTCCCAAACTAAAACTCTATACGCATTAAACAATAAGTCCTCATTCCCGTCTCCCCAGCCCCTGGCAACCCCCAGTCTACTTTGTGTCTCTGTGAATTTGACTCGTAGATGTTTCCTATTGGTGGAATCCTACAGTATTTTTCTTTTGTGACTGTTAGAGCATGTCATAATTTTCTTTCTTAAGGCTACATAATACTATGTATATACCACATTTTGTTTGTTCATTCATATGTTGATGGACATTTGAATTGCTTTCACCTTTTGGCTGTTTGAATAGTGCTGCTATGAACATTGATCTTCAAGTATCTGTTCAACTTCCTGCTTTGAATTATTTTTGGTAAATAACCTAAGAAGTGTAGTTAATGTATCATCTAGTAATTCTGTGTTTAACTTTTTAGGAACAATCATACTGTTTTACATAGCGGCAGCACCATTTTACATCTTTACCAGCAAATACACAAGGGTTTTAATTTCTCACTAATCCTTTTTTTTTTTTTTAATAAGAATTTTATAGTTTTAGGTCATTAGCCCTTTGATCCACTTTGAGCTAATTTTTAATATGATGTAAGGCCGGGGTCCTTTTTTTTTTTTCTTTTGTGTGTGGATATCCAGTTTTTCTGACTCCATGTTTTGAAAAGACTGTACTTACCCCATTCATTGGTCTTGGCAACCTTGTCCAAAATCATTTGACCATATGTGCAAGGATTTACTTCTGAGCTGTCTTCCATTGATAGAACCAACTAGGATGGATTTTTCTGTTTATGCAAAAAGTACTTTAGGGATTTTGTTAGGAATCAAGTCTTCTAATCCATGAACATGGAATGTCTTTTCATTTATTTATGTCTTTATTTTAGCAATGTTTTGTAGTTTTCAATGTAGAAGTGTTTTGTCTCCTTGGATGAATTTATTCCTTAGTATTTTATTCATTTTTTATGCTACTGTAAATGGAATTGTTCTCTTAATTTCCTTTTGGGATTGTTCATTGTTAGTATGTAGAAACAACTGATTTTTGTGTGTTGATTTGATATCCTGTATCTTTGCCAAGGTAAGTGATTTTATTCCCTAAGTGCAGTGCTAAAATGTTTGAAAATCACCTTTCTTTCAAAACCTCCCCTGGAAATCTGGTGAGATCAGATTTGACCTTTAGGCACTACGCCTTACATGTGCTGTACAGGATAGCTGCTTCTCTTGCTTATATCCTGTACAGCCATATGTGGTAGACATATGTCTGCTTAACGTGTTTGTGTGTGTCGACTCTCTTCTTGTTCTCTTGTCAGCAGAAGACGAAAAAACGGAATTGTGATTATTTGCAAACTCTACACTTTGTACTCCAGGGTATCAGATCAGAAAATATGTTGCTGCCTGATTAAGTTTTTGTTGATTCTTCCCCTCCTATCCTTTTCGTTAATATTCTCAGGATATAGAGAGAATAAGCTATTGGAAGAAGGTAAAAGAAATACGTGGCATAGGGAAAGTATTTTTTTTTTTTTAATTGTTAAACCAAAAGTGGGTATTTTGGCTTGTGAATTAAAACACTGCTGGTACTCTAACTTATCATTAGTCTTAAGTATTATGTCTGTTCCACAGTGGTAAGTGCCCACTGCTGGGAATGCAGTGGTATGTACTTGTTTACAACTCTGTGTGGTTAATTCATCCTGTCTGTGTGATTAGTTCATACAGCTGATCAGCTGTGTCTCTCTGCCTTTTAAGATTGTAGGTATATTGTTAGTGTTGTTATGCTCACTAAGTTTTGTAATGTTTTAAACTGAACCAAGTTTGGTGGCATGATTATTGTTATTATTTTAAGAAATCAGCAGTTTCTTAAATTAACATGGCAGAAAATATCCTGGGAATTGATGGTGTAGATTAAAACATCTTTGTTTTATCCAACAATAGAGTTGAATTATATGGCTAGGAGCACCAACAAGCATTTCCTGTCACATTTATCAAAACAGTCTTTTAAAGAATGTGTAGAGGGCCTTACTTAAACAAATAGCTGTGTTGACTTTGGGAGGAGGATGGTTTCCTAAGCCCATGTGTTAGACAGATGACACACTGAAATGACCAACGAGCATAATAAGGAGAATTCAGTATCCTTGGAAACCCTGGAAAGGTGCCATAACTAAACTAAAAAATTTTAGCAGGAAACAGTACAGACAAGAAACATTGTGAGGGAAGGCCTTAGTGTAAATGTGGTTGTGCAGCACTTGTAAGAGTAAGTGACAGGACCTGCTTTGAATTGTCAGAGTTAGAACTGAAGGGGGAGCCACAGTACAGGACAGTGGTTCCTGTATTCTGAAATGGGATTAGAAACTGAATGACTCTTACAAAGATGAATATGACAAGTAGAGAAGGCTGGCCACTCATGGTGGCAGGAGACACTGGACCACCAAGCACAAAGTTGAAACTCTGCCCCCAAGTTTCCTTCTTTGTCAGGCAGCCTCTCAGGTGACCCCAGTGATCCCTGGCTTCTGGTATTTACATCTCCATGTAACCTCCTCCCTTTGGGTGCGTCTAGACCTCCAGTGACTGGATTCCACAAGCTGGGCAAGATGCTGGGATGCTCCTTCGGAGGTTAGGTTACAGAAAGGTTTTGGCATTCATGTTGGGCTGCCCTATTTCACTTGCCAAGGGAAGCCAGCTACCATGTTTGTGTGGTCCCATGTGGAGCTCACGTGTCAAGGATCTGTTGTGTCTGGCCAACAGCCAGTGAGTGACCTGACGCCTGTCAGCAGCCAGGTGCCCGAGC